GCCGATGGCCCGCCAGTGCGAAAGGGTCCCGAGACTGTCCGTTAGAGAAGAGTCTCATCGATCATCGGACAGCCCTTCGCTGAACAGCTTCGAGCATGGATAATGTAGTCGATGCGGCAGCACCCCAAATATGTGAACAGTACTCGAGGCTAGATTTTTCCCAGTAGTTGGCGCTATTGACGAGATGTGTTCATGTATTGGTTATTCACAAAATTGCTAGTTTTATAGGTATATTTTGGAAACGTGGAAGTTAGATGCTCAAATATAAAGCTGTTTGTCAAACTCTCACTCCTTTCTGTGGCCAATCAAAAACTAACTACGAGCGAAGAGTTTTTTATACTAATGCAGACTCGTAGGCACCGTGACTGCTATAAGGACTTTGTTAATCCGATTTTTGAATTGTCTAAGGTCAACAAAACTGGGAAAAGCCTCCGCTGACAGACTGTACCTCAGCGAACAAAGGGGCGATCGTACCGGCCAGTTCTACGTGTACGCAGATAGATACAGTTATAATGGGAGGTAAAAACCTGGTGGAACGGTTCAGCAAATTGGTTTCGACATCGATGTTACATGCGACATATGTATTTCCGCAGGCGACACTCGAATTTCGTTTTTATGATTCTCTCGTCATTGCTTATTACTGTGTTGTCACTTTTGTGGTGTTATTTCATTTCAAAACAGGTGTTGGAAAAAGGTAGTATATAACGGAGAAAAAAGTATTTTCAAGCAAACTCCTACTTTGTCAACTGCCGTTTTGTCGAACTATGAAAAAAATCTCGTGCCAAACCAAGTCCTCGATGAACTGAATTCCGACCATCCGAAATGAACGGATCTTTTAAAGGACTCGGTCATCCATCGAAATCGGATGAGCGCTAGGGCACTTCTTATTAGTCAAAGTTCAGTATTGTGTTTTAGAAGCATTGAGCTGTATCAGACTCTTGCGTCCCCAGGTGGTAGCAACTTCCAGGTCTCTCTTCAGAGAGGAGGTCACTGCTAGTCTTAGTCTCTCCAGCTCATCAGCAAAGATTTGCCATGAATGCTTGCGTGTGAAGTGCTGACATTAGCAATTCAGTGGATCGGTGGCGTGGAACATTTAAAAATTTTGTACTATTTCAAGCTTGCAAGAAAGGTTTCAAAACTTTCTTACCAGTTTTTACGCACAACCAATGCCGTCTTAAGAAGTACTAGGAGCCCTTGAGCACACAGGAGCTCGTGGGCTATGGCTGGAGAGACCACTGGGCAGAGCAAAATCATTAGCACTACTTTATTATTGGGAAAGACTGAATATTAGGGGTGTACTCAAACATGTTTTTGGAGATTCTTATTTGGTTTTAGGTACTTGGAGTTCCATATCCTCCATCCCAGGAATGTTTACAGTCTGAAACATGATTCGAAACAAGCGCCGGGAACAAAAATTGCGCCTTGATTTTATACACTTTTTCTGTGTGTTCACACAGGTGTCTTCTAACATTTGGGATAAGCTTTGAGTCACGGTGATTCTCTAGCATCTTAAACCTGTCTCGACAGATAACAAAGGAAGACAAAAAATACAAATATGTGTAAACACAATACACGTTTCAGTCCAAGAACAAGCCACGAAGCATACGTTTTCCTCCAAGCTCCATAACATTGATACTCACTGAGTTTATATATGATATAACAGCTGATTTCACAATTTTTTCAACTTTACCAAGAGAGCCTTCAACAACATTTGCTTCTTTTCAATCATTCAAAAAAATCAAAAAACCTTACCCCTTTCCTTATGTACGGAGGCAACTCCACCGCTATGGAAGTGCAGAGATGAGTTCAGACCCATATTTGGACACTTTTTTGCACCTGAAACTTCTTGCAACAGATACGCAAATCGCCTACGACTTATCACTTCGCGTTGCACGAATGGGTACTATCAGAGATACCTCAGATACCACAGTTCCACAGACACGCGCAGTACACTTTTCGTATGGTTCCTACTCGGTTTGAATTGAAGTTGTGAGTGAGATGGCGCAGTAGCGCCGCTGCGCCGAAGTAAATACTGACACCGGTATCATGCGGCGTCAAAAAGCATGGGTGTACACTAACAAACTCAAACAGATTAGAAGGAGACAAGCCAATATGTTACATTGCATTGTTTGTCGCCTAAATTGCGCAGTTTTAGTGAATGCTTTTGACGGATCTGTCTACCAATGCCTAAAAAGTGTCAGTGTTGTTTCAAAATAATAATACTACTTACAGGTGGAAACATCTGCCTTCATTAGGCTTGTGCAGCTCTTTTTTAATTGTATGAGCAGTAGAACGTCTTAAAATCGTCTAAAACCATAATTACCTGCAAACACTTACACTTTTCAAAAAATAACACTAAAACTACGAATTTAATGACAGAACTGTGAAAGAATTGACTTATGCCAAGTCAACTTTGACCTCACTACTAACTAGGAGAATAAGGATACAAATAAGTTCTTGACTAGCTCCTTCTATCCAGCTTGAATTCGTCGGTGTAGTCAGAAAATAACGTCAAGTAGATTGACTTTATACTTCCCACACCTTCAACACAACTGCTAGTACAATTTTCCATATAGCGCAATGGCACCGAAAAGACGTAGGTTTTGTCAGAACCTTGAGTGCACAATTTTGGAGCTCTGGTATGAAATTGTTTGTCAACAATGTTTGATAACTTATTACAACAGCTCTTGATACGTACTATACTATACAGGGTGTTATTTAAATACGTGGCCAAACTTCTGGAGGTGATTCTTTGAGTAATTTTAAGAAGAAAAGTTCATATAAACATAGGTCCAAAAATGCTTCATACGTCAAACTGTTTTTTAAAAATAAGTTTTTCCTAAATATCTTAATAAACTTTCAGTCGATTTTGTTCAAATTTAGTAGTGGAATTAAGGCCTAATTTATCCCCAATTCGATTGAAATTATTAAGTCCAGGCTATTAGGCTATAGGCATTTGAAAACTTCCCGCCACGGATTTATCTAAAAGCACCGATTAAAAGAAAAAAACGCCGAGACACGTCAAAAGATTTGTTAAGGGGGACAACCTTTTAACAAAAAAACTTCTTCACTCCCTTTCACCCTCTGCCCCCCAGGGTCATCCCCTTAAAAAATTTAAATGACAAGGGGTATCGAGTAATAGCTTGTTTGAAAGGTATTCCTTTATTTCGACGTTTGATTTTCTGGAATCGGCCGATTCGTTTTCAAGAAAATTAGAAAAATCTTCATTTATCTTAATTTGTTCAGGTAAAAAACAAAAACACATGAAAATATCACTTTTTATTTCAATAAGTGTTCAAAATGTTGCCCGTTATTGCTCAAACAATGATATAGGCGATGTTGAAACTCCTAACGGACATTTTCAAAAACTTGTGGTACTCGTATATCACGGCAGCCTTCGATGATGCGTTGACGACATTCATCCAAGCTTTCAGGTTGGGAAGTAAACACAATAGATTTCAAATGGTCTCATAGAGAAAAGCCTAATGGAGTCAAATCAGGCCATTCTATAGGCCCTCTTCGCCCTATCAATTTATCTGGAAACTCGTCGTCTAGCCGTTGCCGAACCGGAAGAACATAGTGATCCTCTTCGATTTGGTTTTCAATGGTTTCAATGAATAAGCGGATTGATGGTATTTTCCAACATATACAAATAAATGTCTCCATTCAAATGTCCATTAATAAACAATGGCCCAATCACTTTATTTCTGAAATCCCTGCCTATACATTAATTTTTTGGGGGTACTGGTTATGTCCTTCTACAAAAGCATGAGGATTTTCATTGCTCCAATACCTGCATTTATACTTATTAACAAATCCATATAGAGAAAATGTGCATTCATCACTGAAGCAGATATTTACATGAATGGTATTATCATTAATCGCTGCAGTGATTTGTTTACAAAACTCAACTCGCCTTTCGAAATCATCTTCGGTTAACTCTTGCAATATTTTCCTTTTGAATGGATCAAATTTATGGAGTTTAGTAACTATGTGTTAGAGCCTAATGAAATACCAGTCGCAGCAACAATTTTGCGTAATGAAGTATTAGGATTTTCTCCAAAATGATGCAAAGTTTCAACTTGAGCGGATTCATCCAAAAGGCTCCGATTATCACGTTTTTATTTGCATTTTGAGTAAATTTAGCAACAAGGTCCAAAACATACCTATGCGAAGTTATCTTCCCCGGATGTCCGGCGTTAAACGTGACGGCAGTTTTCCGAGCACATTGATTTTGGGCACCACAAATTAGAATATTTCCTCTCTTTCGGATAGTCTGTAAACTATTTTGGAAGTAAGATCTGAATCAATAAATTAATTTTCACTATCCCAAGATTGTTACAAAGGTAACTGACAATAAATCAATTTTTTTCTTTCCCTTAGCAACAAATAACTAAACAAGTATAACAATAAATACAGTTCGCGCAGGTATCTGTATTGATGAAAAGAATGCGGAAAAAAATTCGGGTTGTTATTTGGTTGTTGCCACGTCTAATCTTCCGAATTGCTGTTTATGTTGGTAGTTTCCGTATTAAATTATAAACAAATTGTAGATTTGGCAAACCCTAACAAACAAAATTTTGAACACTTATTGAAATAAAAAGTGATATTTTCGAGTGTTTTTGTTTTCGATCTGAACAAATTAAGATTTTTCTAATTTTCTCGAAAAGGAATCGACTGATTTTATAAAATCAAACGTCAAAATGAAGGACCTTAAAAGACCTTTCAAACAAGCTATTACTCGATACCTCTTGTCATTTAAGTTTTCAAATGAACACCCTGTATAATATTACTTCACGAAATCAGGCAACCCCATCAAATTATACTCAAGAATAAATATCGTGCCCACCTCGTATGAGAATATCGCGTCACCGCGCCGACTGCTGCCTAATCTTTCAAGTCCCCCGGATGTATAAGGTTGTTTGGAAAGTTCTTGCGTTTTTTTTATTTATATTTTAAATGACGTATTTGATACTGAAATTTATTTATAATACTTTGACTTTATATATCATTTTAAATGCTTTTTAAGACTGCAAATATAGGATGGACAAGAGGCAAAATTCGCATGATTTCCTTATTCCACTTCAAATTCGCAATGGTGGTTCAATAAGTTCCGTAGCGGTGACAAGAGCCTTGAAGATGAAGAGCGCATTGGTCGATCACATGATGTCGCCGACGACGAATTAAAGCTCCTGGTGGAAGCAAACCCGCGCACAACTGTTCGTGAGCTTGCGGAGCAGCTTGATGTGGGTATTGCGATCATTTCCGGCCTCTTGAAACGAATAAGAAAATTGAAAAAAGCTCGATAAATGGATACCGCACGAATTGAGCGAAGATCAGAAATCGTCGTTTTGAGGTGGCGTCTGCGCTCCTACACAACAAAAACGATCCGTTTCTCGACCAGATTGTGACATGTGATGAAAAGTCGATTCTCTACGACAATAGGCGACGTTCTGTGCAATGGTTGGATAGAGACGAGGCTTCACAGGAGAAGCTCCGACAGATGTGCCCTTGATTGGCTAATATGAAGGGGCCAACTCTCCTCCACGACAACCCCCGGCCATACGTCGCTCAGCCGACCCCGCAAATGCTGAACGAATTGGGCTATAAAACTCTGCCTCATCCACCATATTCGCAGGACCTCTCGCCCACCGACTACCACTTTTTCAAACACCTCGACAACTTCCTTTGCGAGAAATGCTTCAATAACCATGACGATGTCAAAAATGCCTTCAATGAGTTCATTGACTAGAGAACTCCGGATTTCTACGTTGACGGCATAAATGAACTTGTTTCTCGTTGGCAAAAGTTTACTAATTCTAATGGTTTTTATTTTGATTAATAAAGTTTTGTTGAAGCTGAGATGTGCTCCTTTAAATTTGAAGGTAAAAACCACAAGAACCTTCCGAACAACTTAATACTACGAAAGATGCAACACTTACAAACCCGTGGCGCAGAGCAAGTGCGACCGATAGGTACGCAATCCTCTGCGGAAATTGAAAATACTCTTTTCAAGTTTTAAGGTCAACTGTACGAGGAAATATATGATGCGTGAAATATACCTATTGTAGAATTACCCGGGTTGGAAGAGTGTTAGTATACTAACATCAAGAAATTGAGATACTTGCTCCTCAATTTTTTACCTTCAAAAATGTTTTCACAAATGACCAGGATCCTCTGAAACGGCAAAAAATGGCGTCAAGTAGGTTAACTCTGTCCTTTCTACGCAACGCCAATAACTTGATAAGGGAGTAAATTCAGCACAAGTTAAGCCCCCTGGAAAAAAATTAGTTACCAACTTGTACAAAAGAGAAATTAGACGGACCAAGTCAGTTAAACAGGCCCATGTAATTAGTCCATAGACATTCTTTCCCTGCGCTACCGGTAAACCACTGTCCATCTGGCAACGTTGCCATGATCGCACAACATGTCAGAAGCGGCAGCGCCTACCGCGGCACCACTGCAGTATGGGCAGAATAGTCAACCAGATCGATAGGCACGCCGGCAAACACAGAGAGCAGAAGCAGCTCGCGTGTCAGAAACATTTCCCTATCATTCTAAGTTTCAAAGGCAAATGTGCGGAGACATGAATGGGGATCTCAATATCTGTGGGAGATACAGCTTAGGTTAAATTGGGAAAAAGTTGCGTTTTCTACATGCCGTTGAGAAATTTGTAAACATTTCATGGTTTACTGAGGTATTTGTGAAAAATTAGAATTTAGCCAAATCATTTTTATTTTATTTTAAGAAATAACGAAAAAGTAATAAAACTCTTCCATTTCCACTTTTTACTCGCTACATGATGGTGTTTTCTAAGTTTGTGTCCGTCGGTTCGTTTTTGAGAAACCATCTTTATTTTTTTTATATGGTCAGAAAAAAGTGCAGCCTGTATCTTATAGCATTTTTATACACCCTGTATCTAATACCATTTTTTATGCGAATTCAACGATGTGTCACATGTTACATTATTTATTTTCCTGGTTATAAGCTATAAGGCTTAGTAGGCGTTGCAAACAAATGCTTGAGTTGAGGTAGCTACCCGTCACCGAGTATTATTATTACAATTGTTAATACTACTTTATTATTATTATTATTTTTATTATATGCCAGGCGGTCATTTTAGCAATGAAGAAAAGTTCGACATTCTACGTGGAACATTTTGTGCTACAAAAATACTAAAAATACTGCAGGCATGTATCTTGATAAATTTCCCGAAAGAAGGCAGCCAAGTAAGACAATTTTCTTAGAGTTGGATAGAAATTTAAAAAAATACGGTTCAAAGAAGCCTGTTACGTCTCGAAAAAAGGGATCTCTAGAGGAAACTTAGAATAGTGTTTTACAAGAACTCAAAAATAACAACTAGGCAAGTTGAGAAAGATGTAGAAGTAGCCAAATCTACAGCCCAATTTATTTTGCGTAAAAATAGGTATCACCCTATAAATCAAGATTTGCCAAGGACTTAGACCAAGGGATAGCGGACGGCGCCAGCATTTTTTTGAGGGGTACACACGAACATGTGAAGAAGATTTTAAATTCCTCTTCAAAAATAATATGGTCCGACAAGAGTATGGTCAATGACAATGGTATCTAACACTCATTTCTGGGCTCAAGAACATTTGTGGGCTAAAAAAGTATCCCGTTATCAAGAACGTTATGGGTTTAACATGTGGTGTGGAATTCTAGGGTCGAAAATATTAGGAACATTTATTTGCCACAGCTCATTAACTGCAGAATGATACCTTCAATTGTGGCAACATGATCCAGAAGACTGCCCGGATAACTTACCTTTGGCACAGGTAGGTTTCAACAAGACGGTGTTGCTACACATAACTCTAGGCAAGTTCAAGTTTATCTGTCTCAGCAGTGTCCTGGCCAGCGCGTTGCCAGACTTAACTCCTCTGGACTTTTTTGTTTGCGGTTTTATTAAAAACCAAGTTTATCAGCATAGTTAAGAAACTGAGCAGCAGTTACGAGATTGTGTAATGGAAGCATTTAGAATGATTCACCAAAAATGTTACGTGTTCTAGAAAATGTATTCGCTATTCTGAATATTACTAGACTAAGCATCATTTTATAAAATGTTGCCCCATCATATCATTATGTAATATGTAAAATGGATCTATCATCTATCACATAATCTTACATTAAGAATTTGTATGCAACGCCTACTTAAAATAAAAAAAATAAAAAAAAACTTTTTTAGTATAACTAAGAAAACTAATGTAACATGTGATACATCGTTGAATTCATAGGAAAAGATGCTGTCAGATACAGGCTGTACTTTTTTCGGACCATATAAAAAAATAAAGTTGATGGTTTCTCAAAAACCATACTTCGGGCACAAAATTTAAAAACGCCGTCATGTAGTGCCTAATAAGTGCCAAAGGAAAAGTTTAATTGGTTTTTTGATATTTCTTAAAATAAAGTCAGTAAAAAATAAAAACGATTTGGCTAAATTAAAGTTCTCAACGGCATATGAATACGTCCCAAAGACCGCAGCTTTTTTTCTAATTTAATCTAAGTTTCCACAGGTATTGAGATCCCCGGGCATAGGATCATTATCTTGGACACCATGTATATGTGCGGTAGCCATCTTCAGTGGCGCTGTCGGCGAGAGCGAAGTGCTCGGGATGGCGGGTTGACCCGCCTCTCGCCGACAGCGCCACTGAAGATGGCTACCGCAGATGTAGCCGAAAGTTCTGGACCAAATCCAACCCGACCACGGCTCAACAGCCCGTAAAACCTAAATTACGAGTACATATGAATTAGCCGTGAAAGCCTTCATTCTTCAAATAAAGTTATACTTTGTTCATTTTTTCTATAAAATACTTCTAGATAGTTGCTTTATCATATACAAATACAATGTAGTTAAAAGATATTAAGGAACCATGATAAAAGAAGGACTGTTTTGGGATTTATGATTTTCAACAGCATTTTATAAAAATGCACAGTAAATGGTGCTTTGCGGTTTCATTATCGTCATTTTCGGGAAAGTGTAAAACTTTTCCTAGTATATTTCCACAATTCTGAAGTTATTCCGCCATAAAATGACTCATTATTAAATTGTCGTTCGGATCTCTACATGAAACAGTTAAAAAACTGCATAAAATTTTAAACTAGAAAACCTATTGGAACATCCTCTATTTAAATTCCTATTGGTTTTGAGATCAGAAAAATTGACAGGAATATGTCTGAATGACAGTTTTTGTTGAAACGCCGAAAATCCCAAGCTAATTGTTTAAAGTCGACGCCTATGTCAATAACCGAGCAAGCAGCGGTAAATAGCCATCACCGGCGGCAGCGGGAAGAAAAAGAAACAACACACAGCCGCCTATTCTAAACATAGCGTCCACCGCCTGCATAGATTCAGACCAACGCAACGCGGCGACGTGCATCATTGGCTGCATGGTGCAGGTATCATATGAAAATTCTCAACCTACTGATCTATTGTCGTTTCACATTCCAAATTGATCAAAACGTGTACATGATTTGAAACATGGACTAAGCTGCTATTTTGGCCATCTTGATATCTATTCTCTCTCAAAGAATTCCACTTGCTCTATTTATGCGTATTCAAAGTACTGGTGTTTTTTCTAAAGAGCATTAAAAATAATTATTACATGTTTTTATAATTGGTGATATTTACTACTATGCGGAAGTACATATATATACGTATAAACAAACAACCGGTTTATTGTCAAGTTGAACATAAAAGCAGAAAGTAAACAGTAGATAATCACACAAAAAATTATATGTATATCGAAGCGACAGTTCGACAATTCAATTGCGGATCATGAAACTGTCATAATATGAATGTGGAATCAGTAGATACCAACAATGTCTGCGTATAAAAAATATAAAATATCCGGGCTCTTCTCGAGTCTCGACTACGTTCATGAGAAGTCAAGCTACAATCTCAAGCAGCAGTACAAATTATATTAAGGATAGATTTGAGCTTGAGATTATGAACTTTACGAAGATGTATAACGAAAGATAACAGAAAACAAAATATTTGCGAACAAACAAATATTAGGGGTTTCGAGATTTCTTGATTTGTGTGTTAGTTCATTAACCTAAGATGCTTGCAATTCGATAAAAGAAAACTAATAAAAAAATAATAAGAATGCTAACCAATTAAATCCTGAAACTAGAAAAAAATTAAAAATATTAAAAAAGCTGTCGATCAGCTATTATATAAATATACAGTGAAAACCCTA